ATAACTGTTGCCAGTATTGGCCTTTTTATTATGCACTTCTCTATCTTTAGCTAAGATGTTTCACCTTTAGTTGAGTTGTTTTGCCGAATAATAGCCAAAGGGGGAGTTTGTTAGTGCTTGATTTCTGAAAGAAAATCCCCAACATATAATGGGCAATATTATTATGGCAAATTAAGATAGGGTTTAGCTTGGTGTCTGTTTGTTCTTGAACAAGACTGACTGATCAGTACAATCAACAGACGCACTGCTAGATCAAGCCTCTAAAAATCTGATAAAGAAAAGTTTTCTAAAGAGCTGGAACGCGGTTATGAGGTGACAGTTTTGGAAAGAATATCAGCGGATCAACGTGAAAGGTATGGACCGAATCTTAAAGATTTCCTTCTTCACAAAAAGTCCTACCATCTACAATTAGAGATATATTTGGAGAGTGTTCAAATCAAAGAAGTATATATATCCTTATTCGCTCAGAGGTTAGGGTTGCATTGATTAAAGCCGCAACACTCTATACTAAACTAAATACACATCTCTGGTTGTCATGCTTCTTCTCAAGACATTAAGTTCTTGGTGATTATGAAGAAGAACTTGAGAAGCATCAACGTTGCTTAAACGAAAGGACGCGAAGATCACTCAGTTGTGGAAACAACTTGAGACTGCGTCAGTGAAGCGGACTGCATCACAGTTAGCTTTCCAATTGAAGGGATTTCATTGGACTTCTGCATGCGTGGCTCTCCGATTTCAACAATCCACTAAACCTTTGTAGATTGGGTACTAACCTTGTGTGGGGCACTTGGGTGAGATTGTTCTTCTCAACCTTTGTACATTGGATTATGAGTTAGTGGATTAGACGCCTCGGTGATCGTCCCCCAGATGTAGATACACATTGTATCGAACTGAGTAAACAAACATATGTGTTGATTTACTTTCTACCTTAGTCTTCCGCATTTCGCTTTATCTGCTGTTCTATCTGAATGACTGCTCAATCAAGTATCTAAGATAGTCAGCCTGTTATTCAGATTGCCAGAACCTAAATATCCTAATTAAGAGAATTTGCAAAATTACATGAAACAATAAGTTGTTGCAAAAACCTAATTAATCAAACACTCATATTGACTGTTTAGCCTAGTCAAATAACTAATAGTGGTCAAACAAGCAAAAATTGATTCATAAGCAAACTTGGTTACCGAACAAGGTCTTTATATATACTAGTTTTTTTACGCGCATTGCGTGAATGGGATAATGCCCAATATTCTTTTTTTTTTTTTAAATAAGTACTTTAAAGTCGATCAAGGCAAGATTATATTGGAATTGTTCATGCATATATAATTGAATGTTGAATTTGCATATTTAAATAGGTAATTCTAAGTTTACAAATGCATATTGTCAATAAAATAATTGTATAAGTATGGCTGAAACTAAATACGGGACATAAGGGAGAGCAAATAAAAATTAGGACATAAAATATTAAATATATACTAATATTGAAGAGCTAACTACTGATTGCCAAACAAGGACATTGCGAGATAATTTCTCAATTCAATTTGTTGTGTGATTTGAATACTCATTTGTCAATAAATCCCCTAAGTAGTTAATATAATTGACTTAATTATATATATTTTTATTTTTAAAAAATTATTATTATTATTATTATTATTATTATTATTATTATTATTATTATTATTATTATTATTATTATTATTATTATTATTATTATTATTAAATATATGTATACCCTTAGGTCATTTTACGTGTTAATCTAAACAGCTAATTTTTCAAATATCTTTTTACCAACTATTGATATAATTCGCTGGTCAAATCCGCTAATATAATTCGCTAACGCTAACTGCTAACCGCTTGTAAACGCGAAAAACTCGAATCGTATATATTCAAAATTCAAAGTGTCGGTTACAATGAAGTATCAAGTATATATCAAACGGGAAGGGGTACAATCTCTGTATAGGAGAAGTCCTCTGATTCTCCACTACGAGTATGCCTATTAGAAGTGTGCCAAATTTGGAATATGTCGAATTGGAAGTGTGCCGAGTTCGGAGTATGCCGAACTTGATGTAGTTCCTTGTCGGAAGTATGCCGGGTCATAAGTATGCTGAACTGGAAGTATGCCAAGTTCGGGAGTGTGCCGAACTGGAAGTAAGCCAAGTTCAAAGTATGTTGAACTGGAAGTATGCCGAGTTTGGGAGTATGCAGAACTGGAAGTATGCAGAGTTCTGGAGTATGTCGAACTGGAAGTAGTTCCTTGCTGAAAGGCTTCCGGAGTTATGTAGCTTGTTCTTCAATGAAGGGCTAATATGCAGCTTGATCTTCAAAGAAGGGCTTCCGGTGTTCAAATGGCGTATTCCTCAGCGCAATATACGCAATATATATAACTACGGGCGTGTTCCAGACGATATCCTGGCAAGATTTCAGCAGAGCTTCGGCATGCAGATTTCCAGAGCTCCCATTCTTGAAATTGAAACCACTATTTATAGTGGTAAGTGTAGAGAAGAAATCTCTAACTAACTCTATCCCTTAATTTAATTTAATTATCTTAATTAAATTAGGGAATGTATCGGGACGCTATTGCGTCCAGGTTCATCATTTCATTAAATTTCAAATAATATCAAATAATCCAATTTCCTCAAAATTATGTAATCCACATAAAATTTTGATGGGCTAAAACCAAGTCAAACCCGCTAATTAGGCAACCCAATTAATCCAAGCGACCTGGTCTAACTCAATTAAATATTCCACCAACTTGGGCCGAACAATCCAACATTCAATTACATTTAATTAAGTAATTAGAAAAATTAATTATTCAATGTACCATTTAATTAACCCAATTAAATAAATATTAGTCCAATTAGTTTAATTAAAATAATTAATTTAATAATTAAATATCCACCACGGTCCAACAACATCATTTAAATTTTCATTGCTTACACCGCTAACTGCTGATTGTCAAACAAGGACATTGTGAGGTAGTTCTCACTCCAATTTGTTGTGTGATTTTAATACTCTCTTTGTCAAAAAATCACTCAAGTAGTTAATATGATTGACTTTATTAATTATATTTTTTTTTATTTTTTTTCATGGTATTAATAAAATACTTGGTAAATAAATATATAGCATTATTTTTTGTTTTATAACTTTGATATTTAATTAAAAAATAGTGCACAAAAAAAGAAAATAGACAATGTAGTGAATATAATCAATTGATGAATTTGAATGTAAAGAATTTTTAAATTGGAGGAATATAAAGACAATATAACTAATAAAATTATTTTTCTTAATTAATTTATTGATAATGAATAATTATTTTTTTTAATAAAGATATTATAGGGACAATGTAACGAATATAATCAATTGATGAATTTGAATGTAAAGAATTTTTATATTGGATAAAAATAAAGATAATATAACTAATGAAATTATTTCTCTTATTTAATTTATTGATAATGAATAATTTTTTTGAATAAAGACATTATAGACACATAATTCTAAATTAAAGAAATGCATATGTATTGTTTTTTGTTGTAGCTACTAAATTATTATTTAATTTAAAAAGAGTAACATAGAGTACTAATTATACCAACTTTGATTGGGATGTGGTTCGAACCTAAGACCTTTTTATTGAAATCAATGAGTAAGTTAACGGTGAACTAACAGAATTTAACGGGAAAGATAATATTTAACAGAAAAGTTAACGGATAATCATATTCATTAAGGATAAATTAGGAAATATTTACCAAGATTATGTGGTCTAATGGTATCCGAGTTGAACTTTTATTTCGAAGGTTGTGAGTTCAAGCCTCAGTGGAGGCGGTGATTAAAAAATTTGATCGTCAATTATAGATTAATTGAGAATATAAGAAACAATAAAGAAAAGCATATAGTCTTCTCCAAATTTTATTAGCGAGAAGAACAAATTAAAGTGGAAAGGATAGAAATTTTTATTAGTTTAAGGAATAAGGGTCAAATAGGCCATCGAACTGCACACAATAATGCAATTAGGCCACTGAACCTAAAAAAACAACAACCAAGCCACTAAACTAACCAATTTCTTTCAATTAGCCTAATTTACAGGTTAGTAACAGGTCACCAAAAAAATTTAAAATAGTTTTTAAAAAAATTATTATTTAAAAATAATAAATTAAAGTATATTAAAATAGTTTTTAAAAAAAAAAACGAAGAAACTTTCTTCATCTCCATGGCCGGAGACGAAGAAACGTTTTTTTTTTAAATATATTTTAATTTATTATTTTTAAATAATATTTTAAATTTTTTGGGTGACCTGTTACTAACCTGCAAAACCTGTAAATTAGACTAATTGAAAGAAATTTGTTAGTTTAATGGCCTAATTGTTGTTTTTTCAGGTTCAATGGCCTAATTGCATTATTGTGTGCAGTTCAATGGTCTATTTGACCCTTATTCCTTAGTTTAATTGTTTCTATTTTTCTCTTCTATTGTCTAAGACACAACATGAGAACAAACTAAAGAAGAGACTAAAATGTCCTATAAATGATTATTGCTCCTAGTACAGATTATCTTCCACCTTAATGATTAAGTCAAGAATCATTTGCAACACTTTCTCATTTAATAAATCTCTCTCTCTCTCTCCATCTCTCTCTCTCTCTCTCTCTCTCTCTATATATATATATATATATATATATATATATATATATATATATATATATATTATACCTTAACTTCCACCTTAGTTAGAGTAAAAGAGAATACATAATATGCTTTTGTATTGAAGACGAAAGGAAGGATAGGGGCTGGGAATATATATTCAGCACATTCTCTTTATAATAAGCAGTAAACAAAATATTATAATTTCTACCCATTTTTTAAAGGCAAGTACCTTTTTTATTTTTTAATTTTTTTTAATTTTTTTATTTAAATAAAAAATAATAAATTGAACAAAATAAGATTATTTTGTTTACAACTTTATGTACTATATATAGATGGTGAATGAATACACATGCATACCATTCTTACATTGTGTTCACAAGCCAAAATCTTTTTAGTTTTTCCAAATCACATTTAGATTGGTTCTTTGTCATTAATTTCAATTCAACATGGCAAACTTTCATATTGATGAGAATGTTATGATGGAGCTAGTTTGTGAAACTCATAATCCTGACGGTACAAGCTTCAATTCTAATGTTGTTCTTAGTGCAATTGAGAAAATTCTCAACTCTGAAAAGGTTAGTTAACTTATTTATCAGTATTATATTGTATTTGAATAAGAAGTTGTCAATGCATTTTCATTTTATTGGTGTAGGCGGTAGATAAAGAAGCCACGGAAGAGATGCTAGGGGAGTTTGATCTCAATTTTAGGGAGCTTTTTTTTAAAATACAACACCTTTGTTTTGAGGTATATATGGTGTTTGACATATGAATGGTGGTAATGATCTCTGCATTTAAAGAATTGTTGGAATTCAATATGATGATAATAATGCTTTGTTTAATGTTCTTTTATTCTATATTATTTCGTTGGTTTGAATTACTGTTGTTTCCAGCAAATATCCAAGTCATCAAGCATCATAGATGGACACCTTATCACAATATGTCTATTAAGCACATTATCTGTGTATTCATGGGAGGCGAAGATGGTGCTAATGCTGGCAGCCTTTTCCATTAGCTTAGGAAAACTCAACATTTTTTCTCGACTACGCTATAGAAAAGGGTTGGCAAAGCAGTTGTCAATCGTCACACAAATCACAAATTCAACATCTAATGACCCAAATTGGCCAATTGATGATTTGATAAAGTGTTCCATGGATCTCACCAAATGCATTGTTGAGATTAATCAATCATCATCAGATTCCTTGTCCCAATCAGTTAGTTTGGCATTACCAATGGCTAGCTATTGGATCGGTAGAAGCATTGCTTGTATTGTGGCCTCTTGTGCTTGTCTTCCTCTGACAAACATCAAGTAAAATTTAAATTATGATATATTATTGTGAAAATTTCTTCTCAACTAATCTGTAGAATTATTAATTAAAAAATTATAAAATTAGTATTTTGTATTATATATTTATCTTCAAAAAAGATAAGTAACACCCTAATACGTAATGTAATTAATAAGTTGTGATTATTGCATGTTTATAGATAATTATTAATTTTCAGGTTTCAAAGTGAACTGAACATTATAACGGCCAAGATCAAAGATATACTACTCTTCACTTGTTTCCCAGCACTAGGTATTGGTTACATATATAACAATATAGCTTACACAAAATTTGCATGCGATGAGTAATATTTATATATATCATGTCAAAAATAATGTATTTAAATTTTTTTTCTTCATATAGAAGCGAAGAAAGCAGAAGAATCTTATCAAGCACTAAAGCATGTTTTATTTCACAACTCTTCTGATAAATTGGAAGTTTTAAAGTTAATATTAAATGTCATTGGTGAGAGTGAGATTTCACTTTCTAGAAGGTTTCGTAACGAGGTAAGACTGTAAACATTGAAAAATGGTGTTCATTTCCTCATATGTTTGAAATGCATTCCACATATGTTTGACAGTGAAGATTTTAATTTATATATATGCTTCTTTTATATTTATTTTGGGTTCTAACATTTTTTTTTATTAGGTCCAAAAATTTTGGATTAAATTTTTTTGATGATAAGAGTAAAAAAGTGGCGCTGTTACTAACATCAGGCCTTGACATCTCTAATGAGAGGATTCAATTTCTCAATGACTTTTACATGCATTCAAATTCAACTCCATATATACTTTGGATTCCGATTGTGGATGATCATGCAGCGTGGTCGATTGAGCAATATGAAGAATTTAGAGATAAAATGAAGTTTGTAATGATGGATGATCCACATAAAAGGATTACACGAAGCTTCACTAGATTTGTTAGGGAGAATCTCCTCCCTCACTTTCAGTTTGGAGAAGAGCCTATCCTCGTTTTGCTAGACCAACAAGGAAGGATCATTCATACAAACACGATGCATATGATACAAATATGGGATGCTGATTATATTGAAGATAAGAAATTGAGAGTTGAGGCACGAGACAATATAATCCCTTTCATAAAAAAGGAGATGAAAGAAAGGTCTCGTGGTCTTGATAGTTTGATATTTGACGTTGATGAACAGATAAGTCATTTGGCACGTGAAATTGATGATAAGATAAAAACTTGGGCAGACCAAACTAACACTAGGATATATGAGCTGGTATGATATGATATGTTTCTCCTATACTCTCTTTCAGTGTAATTATTACTGTCTCCAATTCTTCATCACATTACTTACAAACGCTAACTTTTAACTGTATTGTAGAATTTTAAAATTGAAAATAACACATAAAAACTAAATGATTTGCTATTTTACCCCTACAAATTTCTTCTAAATTTAAATATATTTTTTTTAAATTGTTTCATTTTGTAACATTAATTATTTACTATTTTTTCATTGAAAATTCAGATAGAGCAATCAAATGCGTACACAAGTGAAAGAGAAAACGCTCTATGGAAAAAAGAAAAAGATTGGAGTCTTGGCCTTGTGGTCGATGAAATTGACTTCGGAGTAACATCTTGGGTATGGCCATTTTCAACTTCTTATTAGTTACAACTACCTGCATGCCTACAAGACATCCTATATTGTTTTAAACATTATAAAAGTGAACTCTGCAAATATTTTTTGAAGAAATTTAATATAACAAATTGATTTTAACTCTGTTGCTTATGATAATACATTACTGTTTAATATATGTTTTCTCTTGTTTAAACTTTAATATGTAACAATCATTTTTGTAATGCTTTCTTTTTTTCTTTCATCAGATTGAGGAGGAACGGTATATTTTCTTATATGGAGGAAATGACATTAAATGGGTTAGAGAATTCACTTCCAAAGTACGTGAAGTAAGATTAAAATCCCTGTTAGACATAGTGTTGATGTATGTTGGAAAAAATGAGAAAGTAAGAGCAAGCATTGATGAAGAAAAGATGAGCTATGTATTAAGAAGTCCCGACCATGTTTGGAGGTTTTGGACAAGGCTTCAAAGTGCATTATTGTCACGAATCAATTACTTAAATGCAACCAATTGTCATGGCGATGAATGCGATGATGAAATTGTACAAGGGTTCAAAAAATTGTTGGGCTATGAATGTAAGGGTGCAACAATGGAAGGATGGGCATTGTTAAGCAAAGGGCAAAAGGTGGTTGTTTGTGGGCAAGGAGCTAAAATGTTGAGGGTCACTAATGAGCACGAGAGTTGGAAGGAAAACGTGTCCCTTAAAAGTTTTGACCAAGCATTCAAAGACTACTACAACCAGACCCATAGTTGTTGTTCATCAAATAGTCATTCTTGTTGTGCTTTTGAGTACCCAATCACCTTGAAAGAAATCCCAAAGAAAGAGAAATGTCTAGAGTGCTTTCGCGATATGCAAAAGTTGGTGACTTTTACATGCTATCATGGTGACAGTTGATTACAGGAATGATATATATGATGGAAAGCTTCTGTATGGCAAGCTAAGGCATTCAAAGACAGGCACTTGAGCAGCTTAGCTTACTTCAGATCTTGTGCTCCTCAATTTCTAGGTTTTGTTCAATCTGATTTGTATGAAATGTTTTTTTATTTTTTGTATGAAGTGTTTTAGTTCTATAGTTTTGGTGAAAATTTTAATCCCAAGTATTTATAGTTATTTGTTATCAATTATATATTGTAACTAAAGATATTCATTGCCATATCGTATCAATGTATTCCAATTCGTCATCAGCTAGGAAGAAAGTGTGTGCTCAAGCAAAAATTATACTTAGAAAAAAAGAAACAAAAAAAACTTGTGTCAAAATTACGGGATAGTGGAAGGGTAAATCCGATGAACGCTTAAAAAGAAAAATACTTGATGAAATGTATAAATTGTATGCTAATCATAGTCGTGCTCTCTGATTTAGTATTTGTAAATTAATCAGAAAAAACAGATAATGATCGATCTTATTGTTGAAAAGTATTTTGTATGTTCTTTTTAAGGAACAAGAAAATCTATGAATCTTGATGAGCAAAGTGAGGTTTCTGTAAGATTTTCCCTAATAATATATATTATATATTAGAGCTTTAATTAAGTGGTGCAAGTTGACTAGACTTATTAAGTGGTCTGGTTGGACTGAATAACTAGAACTTGTTATTCAATCAGACTCTGTGTCTAATATAAACCTGGATCGATGGACTTCATGATATTCATTATATAGCACATTCGTTACGGTACTCATACTGTTCAGTAGACACCAATACGCTATCTAGGGTTCTGAGTCAAGTATATAGCACATTCAGTTACAGTACTCATACTGCTCAAATATGGCTGACGGTCTACCGTTAAAGAGGCAACACAACTAGTAGTATTATTATTCAGTATAATTAGATTATTTATATTCTAAAATTTAGTATCAGAGCCTTTATAATCTCTGTCTGGTTGATTGTTATTGTCTTAAAATCAACATTAATTTCATATACATTGAGTTTTGTATATGCCTTGGTTTACAATTAAATTCATCCTAATTCACTAAACTATGCATCTAAAATATATCTTTTGGTTATGATATAATTGAGTAATTTAGTGTGTATATTTTGAATGAATAATTGTAATTTTTTTTATTTGTTGGACGGTTGAATGAATTAATCGTAATGAATATTTGGTGTGTGTATATTCTATCACCTTCTCGCAGTTCTGCCTAAGTTTATTTTCGCCGGATTTATAGAAATTTTTCGGCGAACTGATCTAATGTTATTAAGCCAAGCATGAACGACAGTGAAGGGGGATTTTATTTTGGAAAATTGCACTGCCCCGTCTGTCGTCGTTTTTTTTTTTTTTTTTTTTCGAGCTCTCGAGCGAGACTGCGAGAGGTAATCTGCATCGTGGTTATCGCGTGCGGTGGGTGGCGTTGGCAGACCTGGTGTCGCGACGAGGAGAGCCGGCGGAGGCGAGCTGGATTCTCCGGCGACGTCCCTGTCACTCCCCTACTTCAGGTGACACCGTTGTGCGCTCCAATCGCTGCTCCTCGATTTTGGACAGAGCTGGTTTCTTCTGGTGACGACGAAGGGCCGATGGCGACATGCAAAAGACGCAAGGATCGTCGGACGCCGTAAAGAAGGTCCAGGCCCGGCCCTGAGCAAGGGCAGGCTGGGCTCTTGCCCAGGGCCCATGCTTGGAGGGGGGCCACTTGGTACCCACACCTTTTATATATAGTATATATGCTTAACAAAATAATATACAGTTCTCTTACACAAAGGCGAGGTTGTTTGGTTGGTAAATGCCTAAATTACAACCTAGAGAACTAGGGGTTGATCCCTTATGACTTTATATCATATTAGTCAACAAAGGCCCCGTAATCTGTGATTCTATTGTATTAGTTAGCAAAATTATTTTGAGTTAATTTCATTTTTTGTCCTAGATTTATCGGTGACAGTCCACTTTTAATCCTTTTTATCAAAATATTTTTTTTTTTTTGGATCAAGTATTATTATAACATGATCAATTTTGACCCTCTATCAAAAAAATCGTCGAAATTTCGTTAAATATAAGGACATTTCACACTTCAATTATGATTTTTTTTAAAAAAAATAAACATATAAAATATAACGGGTGAACACACTTTGTATTAAAAAGATCAAGTGGCTTGTAGTCCACTGCTATCAGATTGCTCCCCTAGGTGGGAGGTGATGGGTTCGAACCTCGGTTGAGGCAAGTAGTGTGTATATGTAGGGTATCCCCCTTCCTTATAATAAATAAATAAAATAAAATAAAAAAGATCAAAATGTCCTTTCAATTTAATAAAATTTCAATAATTTTGTTGATAGGGGACCATAATTGGTCATGCCATAATAATAGACTAAAAATGAAATTAACTCAATTATTTTATTCAAACAATCATAACTATTGTAAAATCATATGCTCTTTATTCAAATTTTTTTAGTCAACAAAATGGCCTTGATTTGTGAGACTAGATAACTGAATGTTTTATTCAGAATGTCAAAAAGTAAAAGACTTTTTTTTTTTATGAATATCTAGTTAATGGAAAAAGAATTTATAAAAACATATAAATAAATAAGATTTGTGATTTATAATATGCTTTCTATTTAAATTATTTTATTCAAATAATCCTAATTTAAATATTTAAAAATCATATATTTTTTATCAGATTTTTAGCTTCGCAGCAGTTGTAAGTGTTGTTTTAGAAATTTTTATTAATAATTAATTTATTATTTATTATGATAACAATGTTATTGTTTATAAACTTTTTTTTTTAGTATCATTGACTCTATTATAAGATAGTATATGATATTGTTTATAAGCTAGCTTATTTGATTTTAAATTGTTTATTCATTTTTATAAATTATTTCTTTGTGAAAGTACTTAAATTTTTTCATAAGTATTATTTTGTATGTAAAATTGTTAAAAATTTGTTAATCTTATTTCTTTTTTTTTTTGAAAGCTTGTTAATCTTATTTCAAGTTATTTGATATTAATTTTTTTTCCTTTATGTAATTTAAATTTTAAGTATGAAATATATGTTAATATCGGTAGGGCCCATTTCTTTTGTCATGCCCCGGACCTATAAAATAATAGGAACGGGCCTGAGAAGGTCGTCGGTCGGCGGTGGCTTCGCGAACAGAGGCGAACATCGGTTGTCTCTGGCGTTGCAATGAGGAGATGCGGCGGACCGAAGTTGCTGCTCCATTCCCTCCTTCAGGAGACGCCGGCGACATCAAGCTGCTACTGCTCCTCCTTGTTTCAGTCGCGACTGCCGTTCGCCATGGCATCTAGGGTTGCTGTCTTTTGAAGAAAGAAGAAGATGATGATGGACTA